GATGTTTACGCATCAGTGATTTTGCCCACTTTTAGCCCCATTTTCGGCCAATTTCACTGTACTAGTCGACAAAAAACATGAATATTTCGCTAGAACTCCATTTTTTCTATCGAATGGGTGCAAGAAACCACCCATTTATAAATTCAACTATCCAGTACAGTGGTCAGAATTTAGCAATTTTGCCAATTTCACACAAATTTCAAAAGATGCCAATTTCCGAATAGGGTCCAGAATAAACAAGAAAGACATTCCTGGCACTAAAATGACATTTCCTCTAGTCATTAGTCACGTCTCAAGGCCCCTCTTATATTCTTTTGCTTTCCACTTTGAATTTTTATTCTCACAAAAAATATAAGATTTACTGTTATGCAGACTACTGCATTAGTGTAAAAAATGGTATAAATATTATTGGTGCACTTGTGAAAGAATATTAGACTCACCAGTTGACGTGTATTGCAGCTTGGCACGATTTGTTTACTTTTGAAGTTTGGTAAAAATCGAACATTTCTGCTACTTTGAGCTCAATTTCAAGGCACCTTTCATTGTAAAACCAGTCAAAATCATCTCAATTTCTGTAATATGTCTTCCATTCTATAAAATGAGACCAAGAAAACTAGAATACAACAATAAATACCATACGAAAATACACTGCAAAGTCGCTGATTTATTCAAAAAAATGGTCAAAGTTTTTTTTTTCTCATTATGCACTGTGTGCTGCAGGATTTTTTTTCGACTGTGCACACTGACCACATAGACCCATTCTTTCATATGAAGGCCTACCAGCTTTCTCCCACTAGATTTGAGGCCGCTAGAATTTATGAGTACTAGTACTGTCAAAAACCCCTACGCGTAAAACGTACTAGTACGACCAAAACCCTCAAAGGGTTAAATAATTGCACCAACCACTCCAAAACTGTATCCCCACCTGCTTTTAACATTTCTATCTTTATCCCATCAATCCCGGCTGCCTTACCCCCTTTCATTTTACCTACTGCCTCACGAACTTCCCCTACACTCACAACTGTCTCTCCCTCACTCCTACAAGATGTTATTCCTCCTTGTCCTATACACGAAATCACAGCTTCCCTATCTTCATCAACATTTAACAATTCCTCAAAATATTCCCTCCATCTTCCCAATACCTCTAACTCTCCTCTCCTATTTTTAACTGACAAATCCATTTGTTCTCTAGGCTTTCTTAACTTGTTAATCTCACTCCAAAACTTTTTCTTCTTTTCAACAAAATTTGTTGATAACATCTCCACCCACTCTCTCATTTGCTCTCTTTTTACATTGCTTCACCACTCTCTTAACTCTCTCTTTTTCTCCATATACTCTTCCCTCCTTGCATCACTTCTACTTTGTAAAAACTTCTCATATGCTAACTTTTTCTCCCTTACTACTCTCTTTACATCATCATTCCACCAATCGCTCCTCTTCCCTCCCGCACCCACTTTCTGTAACCACAAACTTCTGCTGAACACTCTAACACTACATTTTTAAACCTACCCCATACCTCTTCGACCCCATTGCCTATGCTCTCATTAGCCCATCTATCCTCCAACAGCTGTTTATATCTTACCCTATCTGCCTCCTCTTTTAGTTTATAAACCTTCACCTCTCTCTTCCCTGATGCTTCTATTCTCCTTGTATCCCATCTACCTTTTACTCTCAGTGTAGCTACAACTAGAAAGTGATCTGATATATCTGTGGCCTCTCTATAAACATGTACATCCTGAAGTCTACTCAACAGTCTTTTATCTACCAATACATAATCCAACAAACTACTGCCATTTCGCCCTACATCATATCTTGTATACTTATTTATCCTCTTTTTCTTAAAATATGTATTACCTATAACTAAACCCCTTTCTATACAAAGTTCAATCAAAGGGCTCCCATTATCATTTACACCTGGCACCTCAAACTTACCTACCACACCCTCTCTAAAAGTTTCTCCTACTTTAGCATTCAGGTCCCCTACCACAATTACTCTCTCACTTGGTTCAAAGGCTCCTATACATTCACTTAACATCTCCCAAAATCTCTCTCTCTCCTCTGCATTCCTCTCTTCTCCAGGTGCATACACGCTTATTATGACCCACTTCTCGCATCCAACCTTTACTTTAATCCACATAATTCTTGAATTTACACATTCATATTCTCTTTTCTCCTTCCATAACTGATCATTTAACATTACTGCTACCCTTCCTTTGCTCTAACTCTCTCAGATACTCCAGATTTAATCCCATTTATTTCCCCCCACTGAAACTCTCCTACCCCCTTCAGCTTTGTTTCGCTTAGGGCCAGGACATCCAACTTCTTTTCATTCATAACATCAGCAATCATCTGTTTCTTGTCATCCGCACTACATCCACGCACATTTAAGCATCCCAGTTTTATAAAGTTTTTCTTCTTCTCTTTTTTAGTAAGTGTCTACAGGAGAAGGGGTTACTAGCCCATTGCTCCCGGCATTTTAGTCGCCTCATACGACACGCATGGCTTACGGAGGAAAGATTCTTTTCCACTTCCCCATGGACAATAGAAGAAATAAAGAAGAACAAGAGCTATTTAGAAAAAGGAGAAAAACCTAGATGTATGTATATATATATGCATGTGCGTGTCTGTGAAGTGTGACCAAAGTGTAAGTAGGAGTAGCAAGATATCCCTGTTATCTAGCGTGTTTATGAGACAGAAAAAGAAACCAGCAATCCTACCATCATGCAAAACAGTTACAGGTTTCTGTTTCACAGTCATCTGGCAGGACGGTAGTACTTCCCTGGGTGGTTGCTGTCTACCAACCTACTACTCTAACATATATATACGTTTTTTCAACATTTGAAAGTATGTAAAAAAATGTACATCATTTTTTTTTTTACATTTGAAAATGTGTGAAAAAAAACTTCTATCTACATTTTTTGTTATATTTGAAAATATGTAAAAAAAACATAGATCTACTTTTGAAGCACTACGGATTTGAACTTCAATCTATTTGGACCGTTTAAAGGTTAATCATCAACTTGTCGGTATTTTATACCATTTTCAACATCTCTGCCAGTGATGGTATTATAGACAGTATGCTCTGCCCAGATTGCAGATAAAAGAAAATTGAGACAAACTATGCTGTTTATTACCCTGTATCTGATCCAATGCTCAGTTTATTTCTCTGTTGGTATAAATTAGCCACAGCTTGAGGTCACTTAGTATTTAATCTCCGGTCACCATAGGGATATCCAACTCCTCAGTAAAGGTAGCCTAGAGGCTGTGTATACTTAGATGGTGGGTAGGATATTTAAAGGTAAATGTGTTTTATCAGTTACTTGAGTTAGAAACATTGGTTCAAGTTATCTTCCGAGGACACCAACATTGTATGTTCAGGTAGGATACCTGGCTAATGTTCTCACATTAAGATTGCCAGCCTATATTTTCATTTGGGAACACTTCAAATTTGAGGGTTATTTCCTTTATAGATTATAATAAATTTGGACAATAATAGCCCCTATTATGAGCTCCCAATCTGGATACATGGTGGCTTTCTGCCGGGCTCCAGGAAAGTTCATGTTGAACCTCTGGGAGTCAGTCTTAATGCTATCTGGATTAAATGGGTTAAAAATCTTACCTGATCCTGACAGCATGTGAGGCTCAACCTATACCAATATGATTAGAAGGAAATATCAGAATCAGATGAATTCTTTGTGAGTTTGTAGAGTCTTGGCAGATTGATCTCTTATTTCCTGACAATGAGGGATCTGCAAACAAATATCCTGTTTACATGAATTTACTTGAGGTTATGCAAAGATGCTTAGACTGTTGCAATTGGAGTTTGGTGTACATATAACAATTAAGATTTTTCTTCTTAGTGGGTTAATGATTTCATTAACTCACTAATAAGATATCCTCTGTAATGTCTATAGCAGTCAGCTTTTTGAGCAGTTCTTTCTCTAAAATTTTTATAAGTGGGTTAATTAAGTCGTTGTCTTAGTGATATGGTACAGTACTGTGAATTCTCACCTTTATTTGATGACTTCCTCCTCCATTCCTATGGCCAATTTTGAGATATTTCCTACTCCACAGCCTGGTCATGGACCAGACTTGTCTGGTGCTTGTCTGCTCAACCAGGCTGTTGACGTTGGCAACCTGTTGACCCACATATCAATCATAGCCTGGTTGATTTGACACTGATTTAGCATCTGGTTGAAGAATTATTATTTTATTGAACTTGAATATGGTACTCTGTACAATTTGAAATAAAAGGCACTTTTCTGTAAAGGGTTCTATGAGCCAATGAGACCATACCACGGGCAGGATTGAACCCGCGGTCAGAGAGTCTCAAAACTCCAGACCATCACGTTAGCCATGGTCTGGAGTTTTGAGACTCTCTGACCACGGGTTCAATCCTGCCCGTGGTATGGTTTGTTTGCAATTGTGTCATTACGATTTCGTGAGTCAAACCAATGAGACTGCCACCTCCCTATGACAGCTGTCGAGAAACAGGTTTATCAAATGGGAAAATCTGTTAGGTGCAGTCAGACTAACAATTGAAGATGGGCTTGCACTAGAACAAATGAAAGGCAGGAAAAGTGAAGTGGTAGTGAAGTTTATGCTGGTGAACTGGATATACAGTGATTCTAAGAAGTTACTGTTAGTGGTTTGTCATGCTTTTCACAGGAGTCTGATGACTCAGACTTATGACAGGTTCTCCGACCAGTATGCATATCTAAATAATGTATATTAGACCTGATTTCCTCTATTCTGTTTATTACAATATACAGTACACTGCTATATAAACATTTAAAAATATACCAGAAATGTCATAAATGGTGCAAAGGTCACATTAAAACAATATCAGAGATGGTTGACACAAACCATGCTCCTCACTTAGCGACAAATTCATTTACTGGCATGGTCTTAGGAATGGGACTCCATCGTTAAGTGAGGAGAGTTTGTATTCTTGTTTGAAGTGGAAAATTTATTTGCTTAAATGTGTATTTATTTGTCAGGTTCAAGAGGAAGCTGCGAGACAAACTGGGCCTGTTACTGCTGTGAGTTATGGGAAGGGTAATCCTGGTAATGCTGCAGTCAGTCAAGCACCCATGATGCCCCCTCCCATTGCCCCACAGCAGCAGGTCCGCCCACAAATGCCTACCAGTGCTATGCCACAAATGGGTAACATGGGACCTCAGGTCTCGCAAATGAATCCCATGGGTAAACCTAATGCAGTTATGCAACAGCAGCAGCAGCAACAACAGCAGCAACAGCAGCAGCAACAACAAAATAGAGTTCTACCTGGAATGGAGCAGTTATGGAACAGGTATGATATTATATGTATATGTTAAACATGTCTTCCATTATAAGAGGTTGAAAAAGTTATTGAAGGGGAAGAATGTAGTTTATGAAATGCTAATGAGAGGTGCACATATTTATTTTAAGATTTAGTGCCCATATCAATGTTTGTTCAGGTAGTGCCTGCCCAAACTCAGTATGTTTAGCACATTCTGCATTTGGGCTCTGATGATCCACCAAGAAAATAACCAGCTCTCAGATACATCTCTACTCATCTCAGATCACTGCCAGTTACGACTATCTCGCATTTAGCTCAGTATATCTAATTTCACCCTTATTTTTTATTTTTTAATTTCTACCAACTGGATCTAACCAGAATTAGTCAGCTGGCAGGGCCACGAGTAGCTGATCAGTGGTGCTGCAGTCAACACCTCTGCACACATGCTTTTCACAATAGACACCTTTTAAGCCAGTGACTTTTCTCTGTTCTCAGGTAGGTGTGAGCTATTGTTAGTGAAAGTTATTTGATGTGCCTGGCTCTCCAGTTCTGTGATCACCACCTGACCTATCGTGTGTTTTACGGCAGGATGGAATGTTGTGAAGAAGCATAGTCATGTGAGTGTGGTGTTGACTGCCCTGTCATAGAAGAGTCATCATTCAGCCAGAGTCAAGGGATGACTTCTCCAGGGTCATTGGTCATCGCCTCAAGTTTCATGTGTAGATTTTGGTTCTTTAAAAGAGGGCACGGACACCCTCTACCTTGACCCCTTAGGATTTCTAGATTCCTTCCAAATTAACAGGAGACTAAAAGTGGTGATGCTGGGTATTTTTGTGCCCCACCGCTTGTTGCTGGCCTGAATTTAGAGGCTTTGTCTTCTGAGCAAGAGCCTGCAACTTTAAGTGCTCACGGAGAAATTCAAATCTATGTTAGCTTCCTATATACTTCCTACGCTTGCTTATATTTAGTTCTGGTCCCTCTAGTAGTTTTTGCTGAGGATTCATGAGATGTTCCCAAGTCTTATTATAATAAGAAGGGTAAGCCTTCCCTGTCATGCTCAACAATGTTGTATTTTGTCTGGAATGCCCTTTCAGTAATAATATTGAGGCATGCAAGGTCCAGCCCTAACCTGAGGAGTCTGCCTATCTTTTTCTTGAGCCAATATCAGTGTCGGAAGTGCACTCTTGGCTATGATGTATGGCTGGTCAGGAAGAGGAAGGACAGTTTCTATCCTGTTACATCACAACCAGTTTGGATCAGCCAGGTTGGGATGGCTATGTGAACCTCTTGGCCACTAGCACAGTGGGTTACCAATAGTCACTGGGGAAACCTGTCCTAAGGCTGCAGGGTTAAAGAGAGTCCTTAAAATCAGTCACAGGTAAGAGGCCTGTATGATGACTCAAAAGTTCATCATACTGCTTACTAGGGTGGATATAACCTAGGTGCATGTCGTTTAGTCTGTCTTGTAAGGCCTCCTAAGGCTCCTCCATTCAGTGCACCAGGCTTAGGGGCTCCATTTCTAGATAACAGGGTATGAAATGCCTATTGATAGCAGGCTAGCAGCTCGTTGGTCAGTTATCCCCTAGCTCCTGCTCCTTTAACTTATCCCTGCCTACTCCCTCACATCATTCAGCAGTTTTCGTTCCCATTATTGGTGGCCTCATTTGGGAATGCCTGATGGAGAGTAGTGTAAACTAGGAAGATTTTTTTCCTGAAATTTTTTTTTGCCACAAAATATGAGGGCATTGCTTAACCTGAATTTAAAATTCTTAGACCGTTGTATATATGTCTTAACAAGATTTATAATGGAATTTATTGGAAGAATTCATCTCATCCTGATCTAGTTACTTCTGTCAGTTTGTACAAGGCCTCACATCTGAGGGTTTTGTACCCATTTAACTGGGCTAAACTACCAGTTAATGGCAGTGAACTGCAATCTAGAAATACAGTATAATACAAACTGTTGGCCACTCATCAACAAAGTCGTGTTGTTCACAGATCTCCAGAGAGCAAACTGGGATGCTAACTCACTCTTCACATAAACTGAAAGGATTTTTTTTTATATGGGTGAATCTCAACTCTCATTCTTCATCTCTTTGCTCCCAGACTGGTTGGTAGATGTAATGTCTCTCAGCTGCAGGACTTCAAGTTTCCATATTTCTTCCCTCCAACAAAGGGAGATGACAGTATATATTTCTTAACTGCACATTCACTACATCCTCATAGCTCCATGGCAACTCTTTAAGTTATACCCCATAAAGCTCCTGATATTATGGGGGCATAGTACAAGCAGTATGAACCACTTCTTAATCACCATTCATACAATACAAGTTGTTGTCGTCCTCAAAAACCAACAATAACAACCCCCACTCCATTTTATCACAATGTTTCATCATTTTTCTTAGGATTTTCTCAAAACTATTTGTCATTAGTTTTGTTTGGTACAGATGTGGCAAGTCCCTCAATGTTTAGTAAGTAATGTGGCTTATTTTAACTGATGTTAACATACTGATGTGATGACAGAGAATGGTGATTGAAGTAAGTAAATTTATTATGATTTGTTAAACAAGTCTTGATATTTGCAATTGTTTTACATAGTAATATGTAAATTACCCAGGATTACCAGATAATGCTGCCTGCTACAGTTTTGTATCAATGCAATACATTTTTATTTCTTTGCAAGTTTACATTGAGATTCTGTAGTTATAATGAGTTGCAGTGCAAAGAGAGCCACTATCATGCCATGGACATTATGGGCAAATTAAATTAATGGCTTACAGATTACTTAATACAAGAGAAATTGATCATAGTTTGTTTAAGCAGACGCTAAGTTACTCTCCTTTATTCCAAAGATGAATGTATCTGATACATTCATCTTTGGAATAAATTCACTACATATAACTATGTGAGTTAACATGACTCACGAAATCGTAATGACACGATTGCAAACAAACCATACCACGGGCGGGATTTGAACCTGCGGTCAGAGTCTCAAAACTCCAGACCGTTGTGTTAGCCACTGGACCAGCTAGCCACAATAAGATTTGTCCAACTAGGTATATTTCTACACCATAGGAAGGTTAGCATAGGCACCACTGTGACCACAAATGCAAGTTTTTACAGACGAATCTCCAGCTAGCGTGGCCGTGATGAACTCTAGCTCAAGTCCCCTCACTGCCGTCAACATGGCTCAGGAAATGGTAATGACTTGAGCTAGAGTTCGTCACGGCCACGCTAGCTGGAGATTCGTCTGTAAAAACTTGTATTTGTGGTCACAGTGGTGCCTATGCTAATCTTCTTATGGTGTAGAAATATACCTAGTTGGACGAATCTTATTGTGGCTAGCTGGTCCAGTGGCTAACGCGACGGTCTAGAGTTTTGAGACTCTCTGACTGAGGGTTCAAATCCCGCCCGTGGTATGGTTTGTTTGCAATCGTGTCATTACGATTTCATGAGTCATGTTGACGGCAGTGAAGGGACTTAAGCTAGAGTTCATCACGGCCACGCTAGCTGGAGATTCGTCTGTAAAAACTTGCATTTGTGGTCACAGTGGTGCCTATGCTAACCTTCCTATGGTGTAGAAATATACTTAGTTGGACGAATCTTACTGTGGCTAGCTGGTCCAGTGGCTAACGCGACGGTCTGGAGTTTTGAGACTCTCTGACTGCGGGTTCAAATCCCGCCTGTGGTGTGGTTTACTATGTGAGTTACTTACGTACAATAAACCCTCAGTTTAAGAGATCTTAAGGTAATGGACCAGACTTTTTTTTTTTTTTAACTTCAATGGCTGTTTCCTGCCATTGCAGGGGTGACCCAAAGAAGAAAGCACATTCACTCTTATTCAGTCAATCTGGATGAAAACTGCTACAATTCGAAACCACTTTTACTCTGTCCCTCTTCCATCCTCTCTACGTGCCCAAACAACCTCAACAACTGCTTCTTAGCCCTCTGAATTATACCCTTAGTGACACTATCATCATTTAATTTTTGCACTGAATTTTCTGGATAATATTCACACCACACATTAATCTCCAACATGACATCTCTGCTGCTTAATTGCAGCCTCACTTCAGTATTGAGTACCCATGCCTCACACCCATATAAAAGTGTTGGGACCACTATGCTCTGGTACATTCCCTTTTAAGCTCCCATAGATAAACTTTTCTTTCTGCAGATGCTTTAACACACCACTCACATTTTTATCCCTCATCTATTTGAAAATATGTGACAAAATCATTTAGGTCAGTTAATTCAGAAACAATTGAATATGTCCATTCATTAGAGAATTGTTCATTATTTTATGATCACAGCACATTCATCATAACTGGCATCCCACTCTCCACTATTTGTCCATTAATTTGAGAGTTTACTGTATTTGGTACAATTTGGTAAGGAAAAATGGATATTAGTTTTATGTTTACATGTGCAAATAGTGTTGAGGTAATAAACCTCACTATATCAAACTTGGCCCAGTAGGGTCACATCAACCTTCCCAGCACCCTTCCATATCAACAATCAACCACAATTGTAATGTAAGGTAAGATAAACAACAATTTTTTCCATATTATCTTGAATGCCATAGTTTCAACAGTGTTTTTACAGAACCATTATAAAGATAATTCCTTATGTTGCCTCAAGAGGGAGTTATGAGTGTAGTACAGTATATGTATGTTATGTTAGGTATAAATGGAACAGAAAAGTAACACAGAGTTGGTGAAAAATATATATGACAGCATGAAAAGTAAATGGAAAGAAATAGTGAAAAATTATGGGTGTAATAGCCAGTGTCGGTAGGCCTTCAGTTAGTAATTACACGATATTTTTTAGTGTAATATTGTAGTAGGTTGGTAGACAGCAACCACCCAGGGAGGTACTACCGTCCTACCATGTGAGTGTAAAATGAGAGCCTGTAATTGTTTTACATGATGGTAGGATTGCTGGTATCTCTTGTCTGTCTCATAAACATGCAAGATTGCAGGTACATCTTGCTACTTCTACATACACTTAGGTCACACTACACATACATGTAC